TATATATATATATAAAGCTTGAGATGAAAAAAGAAGAATCTATAATGCGACAATAGTCCTATGGCCGATGAGAAAATATTCCGACCGTATGTTGCACGTACGAACAGTCAACCATCCTCCATCATGTCACCATACAGCTCATTGGCGGGACGACATGGTGAACAATAATTGAACGTCTAGACACAATATTTTTTCATGATAGTCCATATACAAAATGTGTCAGTAAAAATTTACCTTAAAAGGCAGTGATAACATAAACAATAAAAATGAGAAATCAATAAACAAACAAAGAATTATGTAAATACTGACTATCAACACATCTGTAAGGGATATGTGTGATTTCTGAAAACACCAGAGAATTATGTAAATACAGACTATCCACACATCTGTAAGGGATGAAATAAGTATAATTAAAGTCTAATCGAGATTATGATTATCTTAAACAGCGAGTGAAGTGTAATTGGACATTTAGCAACATATAAACCATAAGAAAAATACATAAATATCAAACTCATGCATATATTATTTTCCTCAAATAATAAAGACTAATAAGAGATGAAAAAAACGAAGCTGAAGGTAATCGTATCATGTACAATACCATTCTCTTGGCTCATTTTATTGCTTCATTGTATGAAGGAGTTGTCTTCATAAACATTTACGCTTCCTGAGAATCAAATATCATATAGAGAGTGCCACCCATCAGTTTTAAGATTCGTGAAATCAAAAATTAAAAAAAGAGGCAGGGAAGAAATGGGCATGAAAGACCTTGAGTTAGAAATATGAACTCGTAGACCGAGTGGACCGACTACTCGGGTTATTAGATCGATCTTTGCGGTCTTTCCGGTCTTTCCATATTGCCTCGATGTTCTGGAAACATCTTAAAGCTCTCACCTGATGAAAATGTGAAGCAAGGAAGATAAAGCATTAAGAGTAATCCAATTACAAGAGCAGATTTATAAAGCATAAGAAACTTATTCAATGATAGCAAAGGCTGCATTGTAAGGGCTAGATTTAAATACAAATTACAAATAAATCATAATTTATGTTATATGTCCAGAGGCGAAGAGGAAGGCTGGTATACTCATCGCATAATTTTTCAAAACAAATCGAAAAATTGTTATAGAATGCATCGCCAAAAGTATATTATTCATTGGATCCATAAGTCATATCTACATTTACATCTATAGACATAATGATGTTGCTGTAAGGGCCGTGATAGTGAATAATACAACAACAGAAACAAGCCTTTATCCCACAAAGTGGGGTTGGCTATAGGAATCCTTTTTCTCCATTGGGTCCTATTAAGTCTTATATTTTCATTTGATTCTAATAAATTAAGATCATTTTTTATACAACCACCCAAGTCTCCATTGTGTCCTATTAAGTGCTATAGGAATCCTTTTTCTCCGAGTCTTTTTTAGCATCGAAAACCGAACCAAGAAGCAATAACAAGAAGCAATGAAAAAAAAAAAAAAACAAAAATGAGGTGAGAGAGAGGATACACTGGTCTACATCGGAAAGAAGGAGGATGAATCAACCCCATTTTCTCACATTTAAAAGAACAAAAATGAGGTGAGAGAGAGGATACACTGGTCCACATCGAAAAGAAGGAGGATGAATCAACCCCATTTTCTTACATTCTATAAGTGGATCAATCCAAGTCAATGCGACGGTCGCACACATGGCTCTACCACCAAATACATGTCCATACACACCCGAGCCTGCACTCAAACGATATCACAACTTTAATGTCAAAGTCCCGAAACATCCTTCATGAATTCAATTTAAATCAACCATAGGCTCCCCTGAAAATGAATTTTCAATTTCCACAACTCGAACAAAAGGAAAGTATCCCAAGGACGGCAGCCATTTATACTTCCAAAATCATGTCAACATCAAAGTCATCCAATTCCAAATGTAATCAAAAGCTTCATATGTTAAATAAGCATAAAAACATCTGGCTAAAACCACATAAATGCTCACAGCCAAGCTCAATACAAAGAGATGAACAGGCCAAGGGAACCCACAAGGGAAGGCAACTACTAAGGCTCACGGTTCAGGGCAGCAAGGGACAACTGCTAAGGCCCACGACCCAAGGAACAACAAATAAGGCTCGCGGCTATGGCGACCAAAAAGGAAGGGGGAGCTGTTAAGGCTCACGACCGAGGCAACCAAAAGAACCACCAGTGGCTACTATGCTCCCTCGACATACATAAAAGGATAAATAAAATGATTATAATTTTTAGGATGACAAACTTGATTCATCAACAAAATTCAAGATAATCAAGCCCAACAAGAAGAGCCAAGCAATCCCAAATGACGCACCAACAGGCTCACGAGTAAGACCAAGAAAAGGTCTGAACAAACTCCATCACAAGCTCTCAGGTAGGAGCCAGAGAAGCACAGAACAACCCCTCAACAAGCTCTCGGGTAACGGCCAAAGCCTCTCGGTTAAGGGCCAAAGCAAGCAAAACCGAGTCATTCAAGGCCAAAATAGAGTCCGAGCATAGATTAAAACCCGAGCTTTAACGAAAATTAAAACTCCAGCCACCTCAAGGTAAAACCGAGTCATTCAAAGCCAGAACAGGGCCCGCACATAGATTAAAACCCAAGCTTTAATGGAAATTAAAATTTCAGCCACCTCAAGGTAAAACCGAGCCATTCAAAGCCAAAGCATTCAAAGCCAAAGAATAAATTCAAAGCCAAACAATAACCCACATGCCTTTGAAACATCAATTTATGGAGCCATTATACATCTTAAACAAGAACAACAACATAGAGAACACATTCGGGCCGCCAACCTAACTATTTCAAGTATGAAACAGTTTCCAACAGATATTTGAGCAAAAGGATGTCTCACGAGGAGCTAAATCAAACCATCAAAACAAGTTACAGGGCTTTCCAAATTAAATAAATTTTCTCATAACATGTATTTCAAGCAAGGAAAAGCCACAGGGAGCCAAAACCGAGCCCCAATAGAGGCTAAAAACCGAGCCCAGCAAAAGCCAAAAACCGTGTCATCCGGTGGCTAAAACAAATCCACCTCAACATGTGTTTTCATATGAGAAAAATGACGTGAAGTTAAGAAGAATGCATAAACCTCAAAGAACCTCAAACATAAACCTCAAAGTTAACATTTCAAGGCCTCCAAAAATTCTTTTTTCGCAACCAATACTTGAACAAGAAAGAGCAGTGATAAATCAAACACCAAGCCTTCAAAATAAGTTCAGAGGGACTTCCAAAATAAATCTTTTCATACTACATATAGATTTCGAACACATGAGGCAACCATAGGAGCTAAAACTGAGCACCACATATATAAGAAAAGCAAAGCGGGCTCTCTAGTATTCATTTTAAGCAGGAGTGATAGAAATAAACAGCTTCATGATGCATTCTGACATGTATTTCAGAGGAGCAAATCTCGTTTCAAAGCTACATCCATAATACTTCCAAATACTTCAAGCAAAAAGAAGGCATCCAATAACATGCTATATTTTCATTGATTATAGCAAATAATCAGGACTAACTCCTAGAACATGCTCAAAAACCTATTTTCATATGCTTGAATGGTGAATATCACAAAATACATGAAGTATATTAGACTAGCATGTTGTACCATCCAGAGAAAAACTATTTCCAACAGCTTGGCTGAGAGAAATCGAAAAGAAACAAGGCACAGAGGAGAGGGAAAAGTACCTCTTTAATGCATAACTAAAGTAAGAAGTTCAGAAAAATACTTCACAGCCTAAACTCCTCTCCAACAGAAAGAGGAAGCCAACCCAAGCACCAGGAACTAAAGAAAAAAGTGAGAAATAAATTTGACAGAGTTTTCCCTCCCTCTCAGAAATTTTCGGCCCCTTGAAACGCACCAAACAGAGTCTCATATAAACCAGAGAAGGAGAGGGAATGATTAAAGGATCACATATGGATCGAAGGATTGAGAGGAGCAAACGCCCCCATACGGGCATGCGAGAGGCAGAGGATATAATCCTCGCAGAGGATGAGATACGATAAGGGATGGGTAGCGGGATCGTCCCGCGTGCGCGAGGCGAGCGTGGGAACGGGACTCCAACGGCATGAAGGAGCGGGCCAGGTGGAACCAAACGAGCCGAAGCTAGGGCAGAGGTCCACGGGGTCGAGACTCAGCAGAGGGGAGGAGGAGATAATGAAATTAGGTTAGTATTTAAAAATAAGGTATTAATAATAATAATAATAACAAAATATTGTTTATTATTATAGTTAACACTTAAATATGTATTTTTCCCCAGACGTGTCGTCACGGTGAAACGAACGTCCCCTTTAGGCAAAATCGACGTTCCGGACGCATCGGCGCAGTCCGTTTTGTCATCCGGAGTCATTTGGACAACCTTGTCGACGATCGGGACAAAAGCCCGTCGCGACCCGAATCACGTCAAAAACTCGACTCGAGCTCAATCAAACAGGACGACAAAGAGCACGACCGTGTTAAATCAATGCGTACGGTCAATCCTAAGGCCAACAGTCCTATAGAGATGCTCCTTGAGTTTCTCCACAGTAGTCTTACCTACTAAGTAATAGAGGTCAAAACTACCATGCGGAACGTCAAGTCGAGCGAAGAAAAACTCAAAATTTCTAACGAGGAGGGCCCTTTGCTAGTTTTCTAGGAGTAATTGACAGGGATGTCCTACAGCTAGACCCTAAGCTATTAAAGAGGAGAAAAACTATACCTCCGCCAAAAGTGAGGTCAACACAACCAAACCCCTTTAACCGGGTATTTTGTCAATAAGCTCCACTATATTATGGCCACGACTATAGCCTGTATTTTCCACAATAATTTTCTATCATTTGAGTTGTGAATCATAAGATATACTTAATAGAGCTCAAAACAGTCTTTTAGCTTAAGTCCAATTGAATTGATCCCCTTAGATAAATATCCATCATAGGTCTACAAGGTCCCCTTAAAGAGACAACTCATGACTGTTATTCAGAATCCTTCTATCAAATTTTAGATTAAAAAATTTATCATCGCGAGCTTAAAAGCGAATCATAGGTAAATTTCCTCTTTCGATTAAGTAGATAAGAAACCAAGATAATATGGAACAAGAAACCATAATATTTTGATCAAGTTAGTCTGTATTCCCCCTAGGATTTGCACTTAAGCTCACGATAATACATTTCTTAATCTAAAACTTAAATTGTTGTTATTATTGTTAAGTAATCAAGATCTAATAATTAGCTTTAAGCGAAAGTGCTCTCCCATTATCGAGAGACATAATTAACTATAGGGGTTTGCGCTTATATTGGAAACTCGAACCCTAGATCTTAAAATCATCCTCCTCGCAAAATGAGGGTGAAATTTTCGGGTAGTGTCTCATCTATACTATCATCTCTGTCATCTAAAAATTTGACCTAGAGCATCAAGTAAAACTCTCATTCATTCTCTTCAAGGGAGGTTGGGGTGTGAATATTTGGAGCCAACGAGAAGATTACTAAAGTTCTTCATTTAAGAGTGCATGACTCCCAAGCGCCTCCTTCATATCTCCTCTCTCCCTCTCTCGATATGTCTGCAGTCATGGATTGAAGAGGGTGGCAAAAGGGTCATTAATAAATGGGTATATACATAATTAATTTTAGAAACAAATATAAGTGCATACAAATCATGTAGGAACTTCCCAAAATAATTACATGATTCTTGACAAATATAAGCAATTCATGTATAATGTACCTTAAAATACATGCAAGTCATGTATGGTGTATAAAAAAAGGTACCTTCCAGCGCTGTTTTTGAATAATGTGATTCCGGATATCTGTCAAACGCTCAATAATATCTCTACACGTTGGTCTAGCAGCAGGATTTTCACTCCAGCACTGCACAATTAACCTACAAAAAAATGCATTCATCATAAAACATTTCTGATAGGAACTAGTTAAATTTATATTATATAGCGTCATAATGTAGATGAACCAAGCAAACAGAGAAACAAGAAAAGATCATTGTACGACAGGAGGAATAAAAACCAGCCAATATATTTATAGACTCACTCTTTTAATCCAAACGCGTAGTGCCTTGGTGGAGCTCTAAAAGGTGGCCTCTCTTTAGCAGCATATAAATTTGGAACTCGGGAATCTGGTTGAGTATTAAAGGGCATGCACCCTTCAATCATCTGGATTACATTTACAAAATATAAAACAGAATAAAAATAGAGTGATTAGCCATTTATAGGCTTTTTTTGTAATTAAAGTTAGAATAGGCCAACATAATTGCACAATAAGCAGAATGATCGAATAGAAATGTAAAATATAAACCAAAAACTTCAGCAATCAATGTTTAACTCCACAAAAAAAATTAGGGTCTGTTGAACGTCATTTATTTTTTCAATTTTCCAATTAGATCATATAGTTAACAAAATGTGTTTGTTGAGTTAAGCAAATCGATTTAATCCTAAAAACACTGACAACAAGTTTTAGGTGCTTTATGTATATACAAAATAATAATAAAGAAAAGATATTACAATATTCTAACCTAATTTTTAGTAAAAATGGGTCTCAAAGCTATTGGATACATTTTGAAATGAGTGCAATACAAATTTTGATTATCTAATCATAACCAACATTTTCCCTTCTCATAAAGCTTTCTCAGCGCACCAACTCCTCTGCTATCAATCGCCAAATGTTGGTGGCTGACTCACGAGTACCCTCTCAGCGTGTAAAGCAAGAACCAAAAAATCAAATCATACCGGAAGTGCCCATGCAGTGCATACCGAGGTGGTAGAGCTGTTGTCGCTTGACTCTGTTGATCTCATCATGTTGAACAAGCGAGGAAGATGAAGAACAAGGACGTTGATGGTGATAGTGGTGTAGAGATAATAATGCTACAGTTGTATAGACGAAGGGTGGTAGCTAGAGGTAGAAGAAGGAGATGGCCTTGGAGAGAACTGACATGGGCAGCTATCAGATCGGCAGGGGTTGAAGAAGAATTACTTGTCTATACAATGTCCAAATTTTCAGATGAGAAAGCAAAGGATATATTAGAAAAAGGAGACTTTTAAGATTAAAAAGGAGTTGCCTCGCTCACAATGGTTATGCAGAATCCATTTGTAGCCACAATGCGACTTGTTTCACATGCAAATGAAGAACAAGGTAATTGCAAAATAAAAGCAATAATGCATTTAAAAATCAAATATCTTCTTATATCTCTATATATCCACTTGTTTCTTTCTCATAAAAGAAATTTTTTTCAGAGGAACGATAAAATAAAATATTTGTTTTCAAAAAACAAAAAATGTACAATAAAGACAAAACAAGCTTTGGCTTCATCTTAGAATATAAGAAAAATAAAAACAAAAGAGATTAGAAAGCAATCCAAAACAGCCCCTCAATCAAAAGGAACCTTGCTTTAGCGTGAAAACTGACCCATTATTAATGAAAAAAACTGTTAGATAATTACAATATAACCATAATTATTATGAAAAGAATTTCAAATTACCCGCAAAAATCATAAGAAAGGTGGCGTTTGATGTTCTTAGTGAATATTACATAAAAAACCATATTAATATGGAAAATATTCATAAAAATTTAATGATTAGTAAAATTTATGAAGTCCTCATAGAGCATTATGCAATAAAATAGCATACTTGGTAATGAAATTTTAGAAGTCAATAATTAGGCAATTCTGTTGCATAGATGAAGTATTGGACAAAAAGGAAATCACTACTAACCAAGCGTAAAAAAAACAAAATGATCAGATGAACATATGACAAACTATGAAGGATAGAGTTAAAAACTATTACCATAGAAGTATAGTAAGAAGTAACAACTATAGAAAATATGATGGTCGAAAATAGGAAGCTTGTTTGAGCAAATAAAACAGGGGGAGGAAAATAAACTAATAAAACGGGTGAATAAGAATAATGCCAGAGGATTGGGTGAAATAAAACAGGGGGAGGAAAATAAACTAATAAAACAGGTGAATAAGAATAATGCCAGAGGATTGGGTGGAGAAAGGAAAACACCAAAGCTAAACATAAATTGATCCAACTTGCGCACTGTAACACCCAAAATGACAAAAAATTTTAAAATATACCCTATTTTTCACATACCAAAAAATTATCCAAACTATTTTTATAAAACTCTACAACTTATTCTGATCAATTTAATATGTAGAAGTATTTATATGCAATTATCAATATATTTCATGTTTATAAAAAATGATTAGAAAATCAAATAATAAATTATTAAAATTTGCTTTAATAACATCAATTTCCCACAGAAATTAATCACCCTAATCAATCCATTTATCTCAGCATGCAACGGTGGGATTAATCTGGAGGTTATGCTTTAATTGGGAAGATATATGCGTAAAATAACCCCCAAGCAGTCTTATCCCCAATCCCAATCACTACTGCAACCATGGGCGATTCAACGTGCAAAGCGGGATTGCAGCAACAGAACAGAGAGTGGCACCGGCTCAGAAGCCCAAAAAAAGAAAAAATTATATTTTAGAATGAATTTTGAGTTTTGAGAAATTATGCAAAGAATATTATATATATATATATATATTGTGCCGGGTGTCTTGGCTTATTGGTTGACATCCTCGGAATAAGGCCCCACAGATCGAGGGTTCGAATCCCCTCTTGCACAATTGGCCTTAAGAAGATGATACTCAAATTCTTAGTCACATTAGGAGTGGTTGGAGGCTTGTATAATAGCCTCTGGTCATTCCTATTAATTATTATAAAAAATATTATTATATATATACATGTGTGTGTGTGTGTGTGTGTGTGTGTGTGTGTCAACGGAATCTTATTATTGATATGAAAAGGAGGTTTAAATAGGAAATGAAATAAATCCAATCTAAGGAAATAAATCAAATCCTAATAACTTCTAACATGTTAAAATTATTTCCTAATATAACTACTAACACTCTT